TCCTTCTCATCCTCAACCTCCACGGACATGATTGCATCCTGCACAATGGATTGGTGATTCCATTAGGAATACGTGGGGTTAAGAATATCTCTCTTCCTTTTACATTTGAAACACAGCATAACTAAGTTGGTCACTACTCACTCCACAGTGCGACCATTTGAGCTCGGTGGTGACATACAACTGGATTTTATCGGCATAACCAGTGCAATGATTTGGTGATAAACTGATGCAAAGTTCTTTTATTCCATTTTACCTCGTGCAGCGCATAAGACGCCATCGCCCTCTCCGAGCCCACGACCAGTGTTACCTTGAAACATCATCAACAAATTACCTCAAATCTGGGTGTATTCTCCTCCACTTATTTGAGTCATTGAACTTTCACCAACGCTTAGACAACATTCCTTGCATTGCTGCAAATCTGCGTGGTGTACCCAGAATACAAGGAATTGTCCACAGACCCATTGGTAAACCACACTCAACAGCACAAAACGCTACTGATGCAAATGAGATGCCTCCGATGTAAGGGCATTTGGGGAGAAAGGAAGCACAGCTTGATGACCAGAGAGTGTGGGTATTGCGCCATGGTGGGAGAGAGGGTGGTTGCAACAATTGCCTGTGAAATGTAGGTGGGTATTCGGAGAAGATGCAGCTGCAAATGCATGGGGATCTACGTGATGTCGCCTCTTCTCATATGCCAAACTGCTCCATCAGTTGAGACTGGGACTCTACACTCTTATTTTCAATTTTCTGTGATTCTCAGCATTTTCCCTGCCCCAGTCCCTTCTCACCCTTTTCCTATTTTAACACCATCACTATCGGCTACTTCCGACATGGATTTGAGGTTGGTGTGGCCTGCTTGCAGATGTTATGCCAAGACAAATCAGTTCAAATATATGAGCTGACGAAAATAAAAGCATGTTTAGACATGAGCAAAATGACATGATAGAAGGGTGGTGTTTCAAGCTCCACGTGATTACTCGCAAAGCAGATTCAACCACCGCTCTCCTGTAGGTCTAACTGGAAGAGTCAGTGAGTTTCTCGGTGTTCCGTCCACAATGGAATCACTTAAGCATGTGCACCTTTATCTTCTTGCTTCAATTGCGCTCTCACTCCACTTACCAAATCTGAGTCAAATATAAGTCGGCAAGCAAAAAGACACAACAGCCATCTCAAATTTTCCATGACTTCTCTAACAATTCTTTCACTTTTTACAAAAATTGAATTGTATCTAAATGTCATGTGAAACTTTACAGAATGTGCATCGGACAAATGGCATTTCGGCCGACCTAATAAGACACAATGCGTTTGAAAGGAGCATTATCGCCACCTTCTGGAAGAGCTGGGAGGCTATTGTCATAAGTCCGCTATGCGTAGAATTTTTTTTGCTTAACCTTGTGTTTTGGGTATTTGGGTGATTAGGATTTGGCCAGTTGACTTCCACTCGGTGGCGTGGCATCCAGACAATGCCAGTAGACTCTCAGACATTCCCTTCGTTAGTAATGCACTTTTTGTCATGGTACTATGATTTCTTAGGACTTCAGACAAGTCTTGATGCTCAACATTTGTGACAATGGCAAGCAAAGCCGATCCTAATGGACATCTGCCTTGATTTCTATTGGCAAATGCTAAGCCACGAGAGGGGAAGCTATCAAATGGGTTCCAACAGCATGTCATACAGGAATATATGACATTCACACTCAGTTTACCGATCTTCCATTCTTTCACGTAATCTACAAGCAGAAGCACTATTTTAATGGGAGTGACAGCTAGCCGATGCACCCGCAGACAGAGACATAATAAAACTGACACAGTTGCATGCAATGAAAAATGACTTTTACATACAATCGCGCCATGTAATTAAGCGCTTCGTTGTTCTGGTCTACTGTAATGCCCAAGTCATCCATCCAGGCGTTCTATTCACCTGATCCATCCACTGGCCTCTCCACACTCCTGAGGCATATAGTGCTTCGTTTCAACATCACTGTTCTTGCTTTCTCTCTGCTCTCGTGAGTGTGGTGTTCTGTGGTAAACGAAAATGATGTTTGTGAGTTGTTTACTTGCCGAAGACCAAGCCTATTTTGCTGTTACCACCTAGTTCTTCAATACATCTTTTTTACACTCGAATATATGGAAGAAGCACTTTTCTTCCAACCCTACCGAGCCAACATGACGTAACACTTTTGCCTAATATGGTAAGTAGAATAGGAGAACGGAAAGAGAATTGATAGTCAATTCAATCTTCTTCCTCACTCCTCCTCCGCATACCTTGATGCCATCTCCTTTGTGTGATGGCAATTGCTTGTTCATGCCTTTTACATATGAAGACCACACAAACATGTGCGAATCAGGGCGAACAACTGGAAAACAAGAGAGGCAAAAATGGATGCGACAAGACTTGAGTTTGATTGTCCAAGTGCGCATCAAGCTTTAGAAACAAGGTAGACACTCTTCTGGTGACTCTTCTAGCTCATCTGCCATGTTTAGTCCATTTCCATCACATAACAAAGGATACAAATTGCTTAAAATCCCTGAACTTATCGTCGCTGCTTCTAAATGATAACTTAAACCATCATGTCCGAAATACTTGTTACGCTGCAGGCTAAAGTATGACCAGCTTGCGAAGCCAACGGTATCCACTATGCTGTCAGGCATCCGATCAGCCATTCCCCTAAATAGTCAGCCGTATAGCCCTTTTTGCTCATGTATGTTGGAAAAGACGCATGTTTTGAAGGACTTAGAATTGCCACGTGTTTGAATATGCATTTATTGGACACTCGATAGGATCTAATCTCACTCCTATGAACAGAAAGACATTGCGCAGTTGGCTCAGCCCTCCAGAGAATGGGTTGCACATCACCTGTTATCTCGTTATGTTTAGTAACTAATTAGGTTACTGTTAATACTAAATGCTCAAAGAGACCTCTTGAGACTTCTCTGACCAGGATAGAAGACAATATTTGGACAGAAAAAAGTGAAAGGCTTGGGGGTTTTTGGTAAGACCAAGAAGCCAGACCGCCCCATGACGGTACAGTGTTAGTGTCCCTGAGTATCCCGTTAACAAAGGGAAGAGTTAAGCAAACAATTTTAAATGCCATGACAACAGAAGTGATATGTACCTGACCTCACACATGTATAACTTGTCATATCAGGACCAGTTCTACACCTTCTTTTCAAAGCTTTTAAATTTAAAATACCCAAGAAGGATTCAAATAAGTACGTGGTCCTAATATACCCCGAGAAACACAACCACCTTGTGTACGTTGGCGGGAGGACGGAATACTTTTCTGTCAATTTCTTTATGAAGTTTTAACGATTCGCAGTACCATCACTCGACAAACATTGCCCTTTGTTTTCCCCCAAGACTACCACTCTCCAAACAATTATCGCCTTTTTGGGATTAAACAGTCTTTTGCGTGCCATAGTTGGCAGGAAATAGAACCTAGACAAGGCAACGAAGGCGATACTTACACCAAGTCTGCGTCCATTGGTGAAGGCGAAAATGTTATAGCAATTAAGCATTTATAATTTCAAACAAATTCTGCTAGAAAAGAATGACTTTCTACGAGTCTAGTTACAAATAATGGAAGCGTGTTTCTTCAAGCATATTTGTTTTAAACTTGTCTATTCAATCCACCTCTCACCGCCATTTCGGCCACTGTCTCTACGTCATAACCATGGTCTCCCCGTACCTTCTGCAAATTAATGCTACATCCTTTTCCCACCTGACACACCGTGAAAGTCACAAACTGGGATGTTAAGCAAAAAGACTAAAGATTTCTGCAGGGCTTACCAACCTCAACCAAGTATGGCTATGTAAAATGTGGATCCATGCTGAGTCTTAAGGTCCCATCCGGTTTCCGTAGTCATAGAAATGTCATGAGGTTCCCTGCAAAGCACTTTATTAAAAAACTTACCATAACCTCTGTAGTTTCATCCGTCGTAACGAACTGCTACATCAGCCCACAATTTTAAAATTCCTAACTTTTTTTACAGGACATATGGCAAACGCAAAACTAATTAGTTGGGTAATCGGGAGAGAACAATCCCATCTCACTCCTGGCAATTACACCGGTAATTTGATCTACCATACCAGACACTGCTTGTGTGCATAAATACACCTCCACTGTATTCCCACTGCTTGAATTGGACTTCCACATTAAGGCTGGGAAGCGTTAAATTGAGAAAACACATTACAAGAATGCCTTGGTAGTTCAGAAATTTAAAAGGGAAACAATTTCCATTAATTTCGGTAAACCTCTGATATTTTACTCATGACAAAACGGGTAAAAATAGGCGCAGTCAAGCAACCTCACTATTTTTCTTCCTGTCATAAAAATTGGAAACCTCCGTTAACTATGGAATGGCAAAGGAAGCCATACTTGGAGGCAGGAAAGTGACAAAGTAGACGCCGCTTTGCCCCAACAACACTGACTAATGGTTCGTTGTATAAAATCAACCACCTCCGGTTAAAATAATGAACTTAAACGTAATTTTTAAGTAAAAATTCTCCACTTAACATGTGAGTCTAGTAAATTGTAGCTGCATTTGAATGGTCTGACATTTGCAGGAAGAAAGGAAAATGGCTCACGATGGAAAGTCGGGATAGTTGGGCTTCCTACTTAGCCACAGTTAACAAACGGCCTTTCAGGTTAATCTGAGCACAAACAAGAGTAAACGAAGAAACAAAAAGGCTGGAAGGTCATCTCTTCCATTAAAGAGGCGGTGAAACTCACAGGGAATGAGGACCCTGCGCCCATATTGAGGATGGATTGATGGCGATTCTGCTGATGTGTTTCATTACATTTTTTGTCCACTTGATTTGTCGCAGCATCTTGCGACTTGTCTCAAGACGAAAAACTGACAGAGCATCTTAATGCACTATGTACTGCCGACGCAGAGAAGGGCCTGGAGACCACTGACTCGGACCAGAAGTCTGATCGCCCGCCAATGGTACAATGGCGGAGGGTTAAACAAACAGTCAACGTATTACATTGCCTTTTAGTTTATATCCTCCATTCAATGCAAATGAAGAATATTATTAAACATATTTTGCACTCTGTAGGGGCTAAATGTCTCCTAAAGGGGATCAACCTAACTGAATTCCTGCGCAAACAGTACTACTTACAAATTGGTTATAAGTAGCATATGCGTAAGTCGCTGGAATAGAAAGGTTTCTTTCTAAAGTAAATTATTGGAGGAGCTGTTGCTTTGTTTCTCTGACTGACGATTCACTAGGAATGGTGTGCTTGAAGTAAAGACTACATAAAAATAGGAGTGTTTCTCATGTTATCATGGATGGCAATAATTTCACAAACCGCTAACCTGCTGGTGATTTAGCCTCACTGTTTTCTACAGTGCTGGTGTGACTGCACTTCTTACATTAGGACCGAACAAACATTCAACTTTAAGATAGGAGAAAGGACTAAAGAATTGGGTGATTGGTGTGAATACTCATGTCCTTCAGGCAGTTCTTATCTATGAGTACACAAAGCCTGGATGGGAGGGCAACATCCGAGTGCTAAAGAAACCACACAGATGAATAAAGTATCCAAACACAACCTCGATTTAGCTTTTTTATCTTGATTCTTGGAACTTCGCAATGGTCAGTCAACAATTACAGCAGAGTTGGTAATTTAAAAATCCCTCACTGCAAGGGAAATGCGATCAGTTAATTAATGTGTAAATGAGCAGACACTGGATTTTATCGTCTTCAATGCAGCTTAGCATCTAGAGTATCCTTTTGCATGGGAAATGCATTAAGGGACAGGTGCAGGTGTAGGCTAACACGCATCTCCATTGCTAGCCGTAGGAACATTGCCTTAAAAGCTGAATCAGGTGAAAAAGGATAAGGTTTGTGTTTTTTCTCACTCCATCACTGCTTTACTACACCTGCCATGGTTCCATTAAGCTAGTGTGGAGCCAGAGGAGGTACCGCGTGTTCACCTAGACGATATCTTCATTCAGGTACTGTGGACAACTTCACAAAGAGCTTTTGAGATGATTCACAGTTGGTGTAGCTTCTGATGTTAACATATTTCCTGCAGACAACTAGAGAAGGGTAGTTGCCAGATGTAAACGCCATTTTCAGATCCTTTACCAGGGGTGGTCATCGAATTTCCCACAGACAGCATGTACCTTACTTCCCCTCAGCTTAGGTTTCATTGGCCAGCAGTGCATACAGCAGGACTTGGGGCTGCTGGCATGTCCCAGAAGGGCACTGCAGAACCGTCTTAGAAGCACAGCCACATACCAATGCTTGGTCGAGGTTAGTAGGCCTTGTTCCATATAAATTGCAATTCGTGGCCTCCGAGTTCTACGAGGAGGAATAAGGATGTAGCATTAACCTGCAGAAGGTTCGGAGAGACCATGATCACTGTGCAGAAACATTGTCATCAAAATGATGGTGCAACTTTCACAGAGTAAATAAGTTTTAAGCGAATAAGCCTGATTACGTATGCTTTCATTATTTGTAATTAGTGTTTATGAACCCATTCTTTTCTAGCACAATTTGTTTGTAATTATGAATGCTTATTAGCTGTAGCATTTCCACCCTCACAAAGGGCCAAAGACTTGGCGTAATTATCGCCTTTGTTGCCTCATCTGAGTTCTTTTTCATTTCAACTTTGTCTCGCAGATGACTGTTTAATCCCAAACAAGAGGATAATTGTTTGGGAAGAAGTCTTAGAGGAAAATATAAGGCGTTGTTTACCGGTTGGATATTTCTCCCAGTTGTTGGACCTTCAGGGAGAAATGGATGGGGAAGTATTCAGTCCTCCCTCCAACGCAAACAAGGTGGGTATGTTTCTCGGGGAATATAAAAACACGAAGTGCCTTTTTGAATCCTTCTTGGGTAGTTTAAATGTCAAGAACTTTAAAACGAAAATTCTGAGCTGGTTGTGACATGGCAAGTTATACGTGTCAGGAGTTAGGTGCACACCCCCACCTTTGCCATTACATTTAAAGTTGGCGTTTTTATAAGCAGTGGGCGCAATACTTTATTTGTTTGTTCAACTGTTAGTTTTGTAACAAGCTACATAGGTGTTCCATCATTTTACCGTCGTCGGTCTACCTGGCCTCTTGGCCATGCCATCAGCCCCCACACCCTTCTCTTCGTCCATGATACATGTTCTTCCCTCGTCAGGCAGGTCTTGGGGCGTCACATCAAACAATTAGCATTAACGATAATGTACTTAGTTGTTAAGTGTGCATATATAGTAAAACACCAGTTGTTAAAACCGCCAATGTAACTGAGCAGACCAATTCCATCTCCCCAACTTCAGCTTTTATCTTGAAGGCATAGCCTTCCATCTTTCATTCATCGTTGTCTTCCAGTCCAGTTAGACCTTTGTATTTAGAAGGCTGGTAAGAGGGGGTCATTATGGAGGAAAATGTGTTCATTTACTCACTCATCGCCTAAAAGTTGTTTTGCTTAATATTCGTTCTGCTAAAGAAAAACACTTTTGATTAATTAAGGGGCGATTAAAATGACTTTACATGAGCAACTTGCAATGAAAGTGGCGGAATTTATCTGATGGCGTCAAGAGAAGGCGTTATTATGGATAAGTTGTTTATTCGGCTCAACGTCAGTTTCGTTCTCTTTTGTGACTGCACAGCTTCACATAAGTACAATGGTGTTGATTGTTAGCCTCTCCCAGGCGCAGAGATAGCTATTACTTTAATAGAGTTGGCAAAATTCTATTTGATTGACAGCAAATAGCTTTTGGTGGTCATGCCGTATGACCACCCACCAAGGAACTTTGCTTTTCAAGCGAGCATACAATACGCCACCGATGGATAGACAGTAGCCCCACTTCAGCCCGAAGCATTGTTTAAAATATCGAGCTAATTGCATCTACCCACACATACACACACAAGTGCCAGTTTTTTCAAGTTGTTAATTTTGAGGTAGTATTTATGCATGGGAGATCGAATCCTGTCGAGTTCTTCACTCTGGAGCGTAACAGGAGACGAAGACTCTATGGGTGATGTATGCTAGGCGTAGAGTATGTGCATGTCACTTTAGACTAGCTGCTGCTGGAGGACAAGATGGGTTTAATCCGCACATCTTAATAATAATTTGAATGGCCCCAACTTTGTAGCGGTTGGCAGCACACACAAGGCCTGCCATTGTGTGATTTGGACTGACGAGGGAAGGGAGCAAGATTGAGAATTATACACAAAGCAGGAATATCAGACAGCCACAGCTGTTAGCCTCTTACTTTACCCTGTCTGCGTTTTATGATTTCAGTGATATAATAACATGTCTGAAAGAGAATTATTGGCATCGCGATTAGGTTTATTCCAATCGTGTAACCTTTGTACTAAATGTGGCCAACTTCATCGAGGCCTTAGTTAAATGCTATGTGGTTGCCAACTGACTAATGTCTAGGATGATAGCAGGTGGCCTTAAATGTAGAAGTATGTGATAAATTGGTAAGAAGATGCAACTGGTTTGAAGAATAGCCTGTCTAACAAAGCCAAAAATAGTAAAACACAATGGTCACCCCATGGGACAGTGGCCTGAACTGACTTAAGGGTATCCACGGCAGATCTACCTGCTATAAATTAATAGTAATTGGAGCTCAGATGCTAAAGCACATTTGCTTTAACAATCATCCCCTTTAGTGAAAAAGCTTTTTAAAAAGCTGATTGTGAAGGATTAACCATTTTAACTGCTGCATCATCAGTGTCACATATGTGTGACAATAAGTTCTCCCAATCTAACTCACTTTGACTATAAAAGTTAAAAGTAAATGAAGAATGGTTGGTGTTTCTTAAGGTATTTAGGCCTTTAAGGTAGTAGTAATGCAAATGATAGTATATCTGTTTGTTAATAGCCAAGTGTTCGCTGGTCCTGTCTCGCCATGCCAACATCATTGGCCTCCACACTTGCTTCTTGTGTAACAAGCCTCCAAGGCTAGCAAAGTCATTAAATTCAGGTAAAAAGCTACATAATAATTTTTTAAGTCCAACGACAAATTGGTTAACATTTATTTATCATAATTGCGTCCGTTTTTTTGGTATCAGTGTATACTAACTTAGACCGTTGTGAATGTTTCTCAATTAAAAAAAACACGGGTCAAATCGGAAACATGTCCTTTACATTTTCTCCATTTTCTACCAAATTTACTCTTTGATAATGCCAAAAAACAGGTAAGGTTGCGATTCAAAGAGGATGGAAGGCGAATCATGACTAACTTATACCAGCCTGCACTCAGCAGACTGATGAATATTCTTCCTCCTCCACACACAAGGTTGCATCCTAAACAATGGATTGGTAATTTCATCAAGAATATGCGGAGTTGAAAATATCTCTGATCTATTTACATTTGAAACACAGAATCACAAACTTTGTCACTGCTCCCTCCACAGCGCGGCCACTTAAGCTCGGTGGTGATATGCAGCTGCATTTTATTGGCACGACCAGTACAATGATGCGACCGTAAACTAATACAAAGTTCCTCTGATATGTTTTGCACCGTGCCGCCCATATAATGTCATCGTCCTCCCTGAGCCTACGCCCAGTGTTACCTCGAAATGATACCTGCAAATTGCCTCAGATCTAGCCATTCTCCACTCGTCTTGTCTGTATTGCTACACTTCCACCAACCTTTGTCCAACATCCCTTTCATTACTCCGAATCCGTGTGTTGCGTGCTTAGAATACGGATTTGAGGTCACCTAATCACTGGGCTTGCAGTATTCACAAGAAATCCTCTACATACCCAATGCTAAATCGCACTGGACCACACAAAACGATATTGATGCAAATGTGACCTCTTTGATGAATAAGCATTTGAGGACAAAGGAAACACAGCTGGACGACCAGAGTGCGAACATGGCACGGTGATGGGAGGTGGAGGGAAATGCAAGTGGGTAATGGGAGAGGACGCAACTGCGGATGGATGGAAATCTGCTTGATGCCACTTAGTCTTCATGTTTCAAACTAAGCCATCAAGTGGCACTGAGACTATGCAGCTCTCATTTTCAATTACCTGTAGCTTTCATCCTTTCCCACTCTCCCGGTCCCTTCTTACCCTTTTTGCATGGATGCGAGATTGACATGACCTGCTTGAAGAACTCATGCAAAAACAAAATCAGTTTGAACATATGAGCTAATGGAGGCAAAAGCATGTCTTGACATGAGTGAAATGCCATGACAGAAAGGCGGTGTTTCGAGCTCTACATGACTACTCCACCCTGTTGGCTGCCATGCGTATTTCTAAGCTTCGTCACTGATCCCGAGGCAGGATCGAAGATGATCCGACAAATTTTCAGTCTTGAAAAATGCACTGTAGACATTGCTTCTTTTTTAAAACAAACCAAGGAAACACAAGAATTCACGAGTTTCTCGATATTCAATCCAAAATGGTATCACTTAAACACGAGTCTCAGTTTTCTTCCATCAATTGCGTTGTCACTCATTTTACTGCATCGCTAAAATATGTAATATCCCCATCCAGTGTTTCCACTACCTCTCTAAAGCTTCTTCTATTTTCCGTAAAGTTTGGGTTACATCTGAGTAAATGTAATGTAGGCGATGCAACTTCAGAGGCATCTCTGATGACCCCATAAGACGCAATGCTTTTGAATGGAGCATTATCGTCACCTCCCGGAAAGGCTAGTAGGCTATTGTCATTAGCTCGCCATTGGTAAGCCTTAATTGCTTGTTTAACTCTGCGTTTTGGGTGCCCTGGCACCTAAATTTCCCTATGGACTTCTACTGGATAACATGGCATTCGGACCATGCTAGTAACCTCGCAGGCCTTTTCTACAACAATAATGCGCTTTCTATCATGGTACTATGACTTGTTATGACCTTAGGACAGCGGCAAACGAAGCTGTTCCTACAGAGCAACTACGCTGATTTTTATTAGCAAATGCTAAACCACACGACGGAAGAATGACATAAGCTCGAATGGGAGATTCTGTGAAGACTCTTAGCTGAAGAGATAAAGATGAAGTCCGCCTTTGGTAGCCATCCCAGTCCTGTGTCCTGCTGGAGTACTTTTAACAACTGACCTGTAATTGGCT